TCTTCAGGAATACTGATATGAATAGGCTTCTAAGGGAAGGCTATAAGGCTGGTGCTATAATAGCAGCAACAACAAAAATCTGGCCTGAACCCGCCCCCCACCCTCCTTTTATGAAAATGGGATACAACCAACTTCTAGGATGAGAGTACTGGACAGATCAATTCTGGATGGAGAAGATGATCCTGCAGGTACCTAGCTCCCAGCTGTATAAGGCTTTATAGATCAAACCCAGCACTTTGAACTGCACCCAGAAAACCATGGGCAACCAATGCAGGGCTCACAGCACAGGTGTAATGTGTTCCCAATGAGTAACATTTGCTGGTAGATAGGCTACCACATTTTGTACCAATTGTTGTTTCTGAGTAGTTCTCAAAGAGAGCCCCATTTAAAGTACATTATAGTAGTTGAGACTTTTGGTGGGGGTATGAGTTACCATTGCAAGTTCCTCTAACTCTTGTTGAGTTACAGCTGGTATATCAAAGCTGGATAAAGGTCCTTCTGGCCACAGCCTTCATTTTCTAGTAGTAGCCCTAAGTTCAGGAGAGCCCTCAACTCAAAACTCTTCTCTTGGGGACTAGACATCGCTTTCAAGACAAACTAGAGATGGCTGAGAATCCCAATAATGAAATAGTAAATCCATCTTGCTTAGGTTCAATTTCACTGTGCTGAATTCTATATAGACCCCTACAGCCTCCAGATACTTGGCCAAATTTCAACATCATCATTATGGACTAGATATATATATTATATATCTATATGTGCGTGTGTATGTGTAATATGTAATATAGATACTGTATATAACAGTATCATCCTACTGATACTGTCTCCTGAATTGATGAATGACCTCTCCCAGCAGCTTCATGTGGGAGAAAGACCAAACTCTGCAGCACCCCACAAGTGAAGTGCTGGCCTTCTTGTTACCTTCAGCTGGAACTACCTGCTGATGAAGCAGAATCACCATAAAACTCCATCCAATCCTCTGCCCTTGGAGGCAGACTAAAACGATACTATGAATGATAGCATTGAAGCCCACTGAGAGATCTAACATAACCAAGTATGCCTATCCTCATCCAAATGCGGACAAGGTGCTGTTGCAGTTGCCATTTCAGTACCCTGCTTTGGCCTGAATGCAGAATCCACTTTTTCTAGGATACACTAACTGACTAGCCGCCACCCTTTCAATAGCTTTCCACAAAAAGGGAAGGTTGAAGACTGGTCAGTAGTTGTTAAATGTGGCCAGATTCAAGGAGGGCCTCTTGAGGAGGGGGCATATCACAGTATTTTTCAAGGCTGCAGCATCACCCCTTCTCACAAAGGAGCATTGATAACCTGGATCTAGCCAGTCATTCCCCCATCTGCCCTCCAAAGGAGTCAGGAGGGGCATGGATCTAGCCTCAGGTGGCAGAAGTCCTGCAGGAGAGGAGCTATGTGTTTCTTCAGAGACTACATGTCAAAAAGAGTCCCAGCTAATTTGGCAACATATCCCAGTTACCACATCCAACCCTGCCCATGAAGAGTCACTATTTTGGCAGATCTGAGGAACTTTGTCAATAAAATACTGTGCAAAATTACCTTAGTGGCCAGGTGGAAAATCTCTGCTCATTCCTCCCTAAAACTGTGTTGGCAAGCATAACAAAGCTGTTGTCCAACTTTCTGCCAATGTAGTATCTCTGTGGTGCAGACCTGAACTTGGACATATATCTCTGCTCAGTTGGGTTCACTTTTTGTTTTCTTCCACTGATGCTCTTGACGCTGCTTCTGGTGCATCATTTCCTGGGTTTCTCAATGAGCCAAGCAGCTAACTGGAATCAACAAACAGAAAAAGTCTCTTCGGGACCCTGGGTTGCCTTCTGTTTCTGATGGCTAAGTAACCAATCAATGCAACTACATACCAAATTGCTGGGAAATTCTCCGAATGCCTGCTGGAAACCATCCAGATCCATGAGTTACTTGCATAGAACACCCTAATGGATCCAACCTGTAGAGGTCCTAGATAGCCATTCATCTCATCTGGACCAGGAAATGATTCGGCAATGGCAAAGAGCTGTGTATAATACCCGCCATATGGAGATCATCACACAACTGCTCTGAGGCAAAAACAAGATCTAACATGACTGTATATACTATATGTGTAAACTCTCCCAACACTCCAGCTGACACACAGCAGCACTTTTCCCAGGACCTCGTACAGTTAACATGGACAAAAGGAGAACCAGAAATCAGTGCTCCTAACAGCTCTCCATCAACTTCAGGAAGTCCCTGATTCCTTCCTTCCACTAAATAGAAACAAGTAATGGAATTTAAAAGCAGCTTTCCCCAGCTTGTGTTCTCCAGATGTATTAAGATACAGCTCCTGTTATCCCTAACAAACATGGTGAATGGCTTGGCTGCATTTATATTTATATTTAATTTTTTGTACTGTTTTAAATATTGACTGTTTTTATTGTTGTTAGCCACCCAAAGTCACTGGTCTGAGATGGGCAGCTATATAAATTGAATAAATAAATAAATAAATAAATAA